CCTTGGACACTTCTGATTGTTGAAGATATAAGTTTGTGGTCCTGCAGTCATTTCTAAACATCCATAAAATCACAAACTTACTCTTTTAACAGTGTCACTATTACCATATCTTTCTATGTGGAAATTCTACAGCCACCGAAGGCCATTTCTCAGATCTCTGTAATTGATCAATCATCAGTAGTCCACAGTTGTTATAATGTGAAATTATTGGAGATCAATGCCACCATGCCATTAAGGCATTAACTGGCATTGTCAGTCTCAGGGAGACAACCTGAATACACTGAGGACTTCACCTCTGGTGGAGTTATTTTTTTACTCAAAATTAAAGAAAAAGTATAAAAAGAGAGACAAAATGTAATTCTATGAACATTTTTTATTGAAAAGTGTATGAGATCAAGCCTGTTATGTGTAGTTTGTGTGTAGCACTTTGTCCTTTCACCTGTGTCCTCCAAAGTCTGAATTTGCCTCTGCATTCAACTAACTTTCATCATGTAGAGGGTGAGCAATTTAAAAAAAAAAAGCATTATAAAAATCTTTGCTGGCTGATATGACCCCTCTAGACATGTGCCTATTGTGGCCAAATACAAGGCCAGTCCTTCAGACATAAAGTTCTGAGTTCGATCCAGATTCTTGGGTTTCCTTGTAATTTCAATTTAGAACCCAAGCTTTGACTGAGTACACTAATAAATAGTTCAGAGTCAACCTAAAACACTAACGATAACCCGTTGGAGAGAGAGTGTTAGGTATTTTCCGTTTGTTTGCTCAAATTGGTCACCTCTTGTGTCAGTGTCTCAGGAGAGGTGAAAACTGCACTCTCCGAGCGTACAAGTCCACACTGCATTTATTTTTGTGGTTCTTTGTGTGGTACTTTGGGAACCGCGAATCCTCCGGTGTTCTCCAATATGTTTGTTTGTTTTGTGTTGGTTTTAAAGTCATGATTTTCATTGTCGGTGTATTTATATATAGTATTAGAATATGCCAACAATAATTTGATCGAGTCGATGCTTATTGTTCAAGCGCCTTGGAAAGTAAAAGTATACACCTCCATTCTGAATATTATGAGGCAGTTTATCTAATGATGTATTTGTTGTTAGTTATATAAGTATACTATTGAAGTTTTTCCCTTGAGTTCTACTAGTATGCGACACATCACACTCCTACATAAAAGGCATTCACAGAATACCAGTGCCACAACCGTTTACGTATGATTATTACACAATAGATAAAAATAAATTATGTATTTTTAAAGGAGGTTTTTCGAAGGAGGAGACCAGTACAATAGTTCTCTGTGTGAAAGTTGATTCTCAAATATTCTGCCCATGCTGCGGCTTTTTCCTTTTTTGAAACTGCAAATGTGTGTTTGGTGGGCATTTTGGGCGTGTTGGTTGTGCTTTCATTTGGTGAGGTGTATCTGAAAACTTTTTCCCTATAATTAGGCAGGTTCAGTTTCCATATTGCCAGCTTTTCAGTCTCTAGTGATTTACCTTCTTATATTCTCATAATGCATGGAGTCCTTTGAGTACTAACGATTGATGCATGTTTATTAAGTTTTTGTATTCTTATGTGTCTACCGTGTGACTAGTCGCCCATGTGGGAAGTTTGTCGTGCTGGGGAGTTCTTGAAACAGGGTCGTTTGCCAGGGAGGAATTGCTTGTTAAGTGTGTTGGTTGTCTGTTGTTAGAGTTGGCGGTGGCTGTATTAGTCACTGACTGTGGAGGTAGAAATGTTCGCTTGTCTTGTGTGGTTTGTCTACTCTCCACTCAACTTTTGCATTAATTAAATTTAGTGCAGAAACATTTCCCATGAGTAAAAGTCTTGCTCAGGCTGCTACAGAATCGTGGATATTGAAGTATGGGTGTTTAAAACGCACAACAGCACGTTGGCCTATATGTGTGTGTGTAACACAATGTGTGTCACCCACGCCTGGAGTTGTGGTTTAGTTCCTGGGAGATGTCATCCACCATGTCGTTCTCCAGAGGCTTCATGCGGGCCATGGCCTTAAAGCTTACCAGGGCTACCAAGGGCCTTCCCGCCCATGGCCTCTTGCCATGCTGGCCAAAAGAACAGTGCCATCTTCTGACGTTTCATGAGGCAGCAGGCCGCACACCAATAAGCTCATGGAAGGGGAAAAGGGAAATGGTTAAATTTTCCGGGGTCGTCCAAATCGATGTCCACTTCCTCCCCCTCTCCCGTTTACGTGTCCGTCTTCTGGCGACCCCGCTCCCCTGCGATGGGCATGTCATCCTGGTTGGGATCGCATAGCAGGTGAGTAGGGTGGAAAGAGAGGAGACCAAGCTATGTAGATAGACATATTTGGCGGTGACCTTGGCCTAAAATGGATTATATTTATTGGCCATGATTATCGTTAGTGTTTTAGGTTGACTCTGAACTATTTATTAGTGTACTCAGTCAAAGCTTGGTTCAGAATTGAAATTACAAGGAAACCAAGGAATCTGGACGAAGCTCAGAACTTTATGTCTGAAGGACCTGGCGCTTGTATTTGGCCACATTAGGCACATGTCTAGGGGGTACATATCAGGCCAGCAAAAATTTTTATAATGCTTTTTTTTTTTTAATTGGCTCACGCCTCCCCTACATGATGAAAGTTAGTTGAATGCAGAGGCAAATTCAGACTTTGGAGGACACAAGGTGAAAAGGACAAAAGTGGCTACACCACAAACTACACATAACAGGCTTGATCTCATACACCTTTTCAATAAAAAATGTTCATAGATTACATTTGTCCTCTCTTTTTATACTTTTTCTTTAATTTTTGAGTAAAAAAATAACTCCACCAGAGGTGAAAGTCGCTCCAGTGTATTTTTTTTTTTCAAGGTTGTCT